CATCGTTGGCTCGTATCTATGCTATATACACACATATACCCAAGTATGCGCAGACACCGTGATGCTTATACACGTGTATATTCCCTCAACCTTTGTCTCCCCGGCTGTGTATGTATATATGTGTAACGTAATTACTTAACCGACCAACCAACTAAACAACCAGCCAGCCAACCGAGCAGAGGCAAAGAGAGCTCGGTTAGCGCCAATTACATACAAGCTGATCTCGAGCGCGACAGCCGTACCTATGCAGTAGGGTACAGGTTTGCGTACGGGATTGCACCAAAGGTGTACGTATAGGCGCATGCTATTGGCTTGTTTGCCGAGCTAGTGGTCTCGAGTCCATCGGACTGTGTATATACGGACGGGGCGTCAAAGGAAAGAGAACGATACGGAGTCGGTGGGGGAAGAATAAAGGCGCGCGTTTGACAATCGATACGTACTCGGGACGACGCGGCGTTAAAAAAAAAGTCCCTCCTGCAGCGACTGCGGTGCTTACATCGCAGGTGTAAGGGGGGCCTGCCGCGCCTGCCTCTATCCGATTTCGTCTCCCTCGATGCGTGTGTACACGTGTCGTAAAGGCGACGGTCTCTAATCAGCGCAGTCCCGGTGGGGTAAAGGTGGTGGCGTGTACCCGTCACTTGTTCCCTTTAACCCCACGGCTTTTTGACTCCCTATACAGCTCAAAGGGAGCTTTACACCCGCTTTGATGTTTACTTTCGTTTTGTGCGGAGGGGGGGGGGCAATAGCGACGAGCGTTACATCGAGCTTTCAAGCGCAGGGCTTCGTTGATTAATTTAGGCAACATAATAATAATAGTAGTAATAGGTGCATATGGTTAGCAAACTACCAGAATCGTTCGCTCTTATAACCATCGCTGCGTTGGCGATTGAGCGGCCAAACGAGCTTTAACCGCGGCTCACCTCGATGCAGCTTTCATATTATATACATACAATCCACAATTTTGTTTACGGCGCGTACATATACACCCCGCGAGCTTTTGCTCACTTCTCAAACTTCATTACGCGAAAGCTGCACAGCGGCACATACATGTATATGTACATAGTATTATAGATACACGCGAAAGAGGAACGCCCGAAACTAATAACACTCTAGCGCAGAGAGCAGTAATGGAAGCGGTAATAAGTGTATCGCACAGCCGAAAAACTAGAGCTACGCGTTTGCTATTCCTCTGCCGTGAGCGCGACCTATATACTGTATACGGGGGGAAAGAGCTTCATACAAAGCTCCCAAGAGCTCGAGCTTCCCAAGGTAGGTATGACCCGGAGGAGGAAGCTTGCTCATCGCCAGCTTTTGCCCCGTCCCAGGATTAATCCAGGCCAGTAGCGAAGTTATATGCACTTGGCCGTCGTCCCAGGTATTACTGCGTGCCGGTGCAGCTGTATACGTGATCGCGAGTCCACGCACTATGGGGAGAGCCATAAAGGGAGGAGGAGGAGGTGCCTCCGAAGAGCGATAAAGATGAGCGCTATACTGCGGAGTGGAGCAAGGGGCCAGCGATATGAGGTATTAAAGGAGAGAGACCGGCGATTCCAGTGTCCCGTGGCCCAATCTTCTCTGGGTGTCCGTACGGGATTGACTTTTCAATCACTCTACGATTGGGATATTGGCGAAAGATCGAGGGGCAGGTTTGGGGCTGGGTCTTTTTACATTTTGGATGATTTGCTTGTCAACTGTGTCCTAAGAGTTACGTGGGTACATTCGGCATAATGCATAGGCCAGTAGCCAAGCATGGGGGACCTTATCGGCCGCCTTGTGGGATGTTCGAGCTTGTACAGCGACGTCATCCCTCGTATACCTGCGAGACGTGAATTATGACTTTACTGCCGAGGGAGGTGTAATCCTTCCTAAAAAGCTCCATCCAATGCTTTCGACCTAATGTATTTTTTCCTTCCCTTTGAATTCCTCGCCAATGCAAGAGCTCGCTTTCACCAAACGTCATTCTCCGTACGATCTTCTATCATTCTTAAAAATGACTGGTCCGTCCCTGTGGTATTCCATTTCGTTGCGAAGGATTTATCTTTAAAACAGTGGATCATTAGAACTCCTCTTTTCTTCCCTCTGCTCGTTTCTCAAGCCAAACTTTAAATTAAGACCCGATGGGAGCTTGCACCATCAACACCGTCGTCATCATCTATCTCTTACTGAATTTTTTAGTGATCAAGGCTTGTAATACCATCCTATCTCATAAAAGCACTTGTTAATTTAAAAATCTTTACTTAGGGAAGGTTTACATTCCAAGCCACTGACATAAAATTTACTATTATAATTAATAAACGCGACTTTACAGCTGCACGTATGTGTTTTGGTACATCTTCGTGTGATTGTTAACAGCATGATAATTTTAACTCTTAACTCTTTCATAAACTTTATATGGTATACAACATGTCTCGATTTCATTGAAAGTTCGGCCAACCGCTAAAGATTCCGTAACATGCGAAACAATTTTCTAACTTTGCTGGCAATATTATCTAATATGCGTGCACTCGGTAACAGCATTTAAAAATGAAGAAAACAAAAGTAATCAACATACCACGCGAACAACTAAAATGCACTCACACGAGACTCGTATAAATTCCCACACCAACCGTCGTTAATCTTCGTTGATCCGCTCTGTTCTTCGCACCATGTAAATTCTGCCACTTGGAAAGAAAATAATCTCGCGATCAAGCCTGGCGCAATTAACGCCCTCACGAGCACTCTCATCTAAGAAGGAGGATGGGGGAGAGGGGGAAAAAAACCATCGTCGTCGCAGCGACCACAGCTGTCTCTCGTTGCCGTCAGCGACGAACGCTCTCGCAATAATCCGCCAAAAGTGACCGAGAGAGGAAAAAAAGACCACCGGGACAAAGGCTATACTTTTTTTTTTAACCTTCCCACACCCTCCCCGAAGCAATATCACTCTTTTTCTCGCCAACGATACGTGGAACGAGTTTCCAGAGGACGGGGGGCTGCATGGGGGCAAATCGATCGAGCCGGCCGCTCGTGAAATTCGATGCAAAGCGCGTCTCGGTCCGGCACCGAGCGATAAACCCTTTTTCATTCGCGTTGCGGGCACCTCCGCGCCTCTACTCGAGTGTACCCGTGCACATCACACGCGTTGGATACCCATCGGCAAAGGATCTACGGCATATGCACGCGCGCGCAAATACAACCAAGAGGAAATACGGGGGTTGAGTGGGTAGGGGTTCAAGAGCCGGCTATCGATGTGTGCACAGGAATGATGCATCCCCGATACATCATATCTCCTCTGGAGCATACATCTATACATACAAGTTGCTTTTTATCTCTGGGGGTGTATCTCGAGAAGGCATGGGCGCGGAGCTCCTTCGTTATTCCGCTATCGTGGCATGTTTTTTCTCTGTTTCATCCCCGAGACCGAGCGAGCTTTTTTCTGAGCTATTTTTTTTTTTTTTTTTCATCATGCAGACTGTAAGTACGTATACGGTAAACCCTCGTACCGCGACTTTTATACACGAGACTACTGGCTATAAAGCGTTTAAATGATACATGTACATATATATGTATCCCCGGCACCTCGTTATCGCGGCTACCATCTCCACGTAGCTACATCAGCCGTCAATATTGTTCCCGATGATCCCTACCGAATGCGTGTACAAGCCCTCGGTGTGTACCTGGTTACACGGGGGGTATCCCAATGCCCGACTGTCGTGCGATATGTTTGTGTATGTGTGTGTGCAATATATCCACACATAGGCGGGTTATCGCATCTTGTCACGCGCGCCGAGTGGCCCGCATCCGCTGGCTCTGTTTATTATTATATAACCTGTAGCTGATATAATGCGTATGCATGTAGGTCGTCGTCGTTGCTAAGCGCGTCCAAATTGTTTTTGCGAGAAATGACATTTGGCCAAACTTTGTCTACTCGACTATACGGGCTCTGTTGTCGCGATGGGTGGTGGGGGGGGGGGTGATGAACTTTGAGGCTCGTTACTTTTCGGCAGCCACCGATCGTATCATGTAAGTGGCGGGGGGAGGTGATCGGGGTTACGAGTGTACGTTGTTCTACTTTCCGTGCGAGCTGTGTCGGAGCGACGCCGATGAATGCACAGTATTTACGCATAGGTGAGAAAAGTGTTTAAGAAAAAATGGCAGAGCTGGCAGAATATAGTTGGTAATTTAGGCCATTGGGACTGGATTAGTTCTTGGACTTTTTACCTACCGGCACTACTGGTGTGCGTATGTTTTATAAAACAATATGTAATCTTTGTAACATCATCTGTCACGCGTGTATGTACAGTGTGACGGAGTTTTTTATAATTTACAAGAATCACCTAAAAGCATGTAGGAAGTAATCCTTTTTTCAACTAATAAAAACTTTTCCATCTTAAACCAGCCTCAAAAGCAGAGTTGGTTGAAGCTCGTCTATTAGGGCTAATTTGTCGAATCGCTCGCATATTAACGTACCGAAGGCAAACGTACGACGTTGTTTTAACTTATTTGGGCAGAATAGCAGTTTATATCAATACATCTTTGATTCTTGATCATGTACGTGCAAAAGCTAGAGGCCAGTTTTGATTTTTCGCGCAATTTTTCAAGATCCAAAAATTTTTAATTTTTATTCGCAAGTAACGTCCATAAATAGATGAAAAAACGATGAAATTAGTGGAAATGGTCAACAAACGTAAATAATAATTTTTTATTTCTAATTGTGAAAAAAAAAAAAAAAAAAAAAAAAAAACACCCAGAGCCAATGAGAAGTAAAAACACCCTGGTTTTAACGAAAGCCCTCCGGCGCAACGAAAACCTCGGGCGGCAAAAGTTGACCCACATACCCTATAAAGCCTGCAAAAAAAAGGCAGAACAAAAGCAAGAGAGAGAGAGAGAGAGCGAGCCCACGGGCATAAAGCAAACGCTCCACACGTATATACATGTACAAAAGAAGAAGAGTCAGCGGGGGATGGAAAAAAAAGGGCGTCACAGAGGTGGGGTCGTATACGTAAAACGGCGTGGCAACTAACCTCGATTACAGCAGCAGGTTTCCACGTCCGCTTGGCAGCTCGCCGGATCCAATGATCGCGCGCCCCGACGCATCACAATGGTCCCATGATTGCGACGATTGTTGTTGCTATATCCTTCAACCGTCTCTCTCCTTTTCTTCGGACAAAAAAGGACTTTCTCGCCTCTCTGAGTGTACCGGTTCACGCAGGAGCGGGTCTCGTGTCCACCGCCTGCACTCCCTCGAGCGATCACAATTGTCTGTACTCTGCGACAGCACGAGCAAAGCCGCGCGTAATAGCTGATGCCACGTGCTCGGCCGACGATGATCCACTTATTGCCGGCTGGCTTCCAACGACCGGACTATTCCTACTATTAATCCGCTTCATTATCACGGATGAGCTTTCGATACGTTACGTAAGCACGTGACAGCTTACCACGACTACTCTGGCAATATTCACCAAAATGATGTTGGGCTCGCTCTCCTTTTTCTCGATATGCACCATGTTATTTCACGGGTGTGTTTGCGAAGGTTGAACTTGCGAGCTTTCGAAATCTCCCGTCCCTCTCTCTCTCTCTCTCGTCACGTCCCAGTAGTCCGTGTCAGCGAGTCTAGCCCTTCTCCCCTGATGGGCCGTGCAAACATCAGACTGTCGGCGGACGAATGAAAGATGAAACGCCTGCACGGCCGGCAGGTCGGTAGGCAAACATCGCATTAGCCGTGCTGAGCTCGCTCGCGGTAACAAGCTTCGACCCCCTTTCGCGTCCTTTACTTGTTTATCCTCCCCTCTCGCTCTGCCGGAATTTTTCCCTCGTACGACGGGGCAGAGGAGGGTAGGGTTTGCACTACCTTTTTTTATTTTTGTTTTTTTTTTTTTCCTACATAACCGAGATTGATCAAGGTAATGTATAGGAAAGTGGTGGAGCGCGGCAACGGTACCGAGTAGCGCGCGAGTTGGTGGAACGAGCCGGGAAAAGCTCCTCGCGAGTTCGAGCTCCGAGCTGCGACTAGGTTGCCCTTTGCTCTTCTTCTTCTTCTGCACCCGACCTCCCTCGCGTGCACGCGCGTATATATAGAGTATACAGTGGTCGGCGCATGCCCGCCGACTATACGTGCACGCGTCGGTGTGTATACGTATCTCTCTCTCTCTCTCGTTCGGCTTGAAAAAAGGGGGCTACCGGTGTTTTGCGTGGACGCGGCGAAAAAGAGCTCAAACTCCCTCGCTTTTTTTTTACGAGTGCCCTTTTTTTCTCTCTTTCTAGGAGAGCGGGGGATATGCGTATTGGTCGGAATGGAAGCACTATGGGAGACCTTGGCATTGTGCACGGGGCAGCTTGAGGAAGAATACCGTAGCAGCCCACGGATCTTACGTGTCTTCTCTCTCTCTGCGTACGTTGTTTTAGAAAGCTCGATGGTTACACCTCGTTGAGCAGATACCTCGGCCGGAAGCTCAATTGGCCTCAAAAGGGTGAATTTGAAAAAAAAGAAAATTTGTTTTTTCTCCCCGTCGCGCGCCACGTAACTTGGAAAAGTGAAAATTCTTCCGGGAGTTCGGAGCTTTCAACTTTTTCATCGACCCCCCGCGCAATCAGCGAGTGCTCCGTAAATTCAACTCGTCGGGGGAAAAAAAAAAAAAAAGAATACACGGTGCCGAGTCCGCGATCTTTAACAAGCTCCCCTTGCGTTAATACGCTAGTGGATTCCAGCCCGTTTCTCATTGACGCGCCAAAGCTTTTAACGCGAAATCAACTGTTCCGTGCTCCCTGTATCTTTCATCAAAACTAAACTCGGGTGATTTCGAACAGAAATTTTATACCATCGGGACTGATTTTCCGAACGCCCGCCAAGTCGTTGTAAAAAGTACATCGAAAATTAACTTTGCCCGTTCCACTATCCGCGCGAACCGAACCCTTCGCCCAGTGGAGCAAACAGCTATTTAAGAGGCAAGTACAAGAGAAAAACAAGCGCGTTAAACGAGGGTGTGCTGCAGCGCGTCTAATTTCCCGAGACAGAAGTTGCCGGTAACTATTCCCATTAGATAAATTCGGGCTTTTTGGCGCTGCTCCTTCTCTCTGACCCTCCCCTCCTCGGCTAGGTTAGAGTGTTGGTTGAGGCTGGCTGTGGTGACAGGAAGCTCGTCTTTGCTCTCGGCGCTGTTTCTCGGGTTTTGATTGTGCTAAACTTTCCCGGGGAGTTCGGGCCGAGAATATTATCATCATTTGGACGGGGCGTATTATTACTGCTGCGACATAATGAAATCTCGTCACGATGCTGTGGAAGCTCTTTGGTGACACTTGAAACGAGCGGGTTCATCGTTGTCGCGTGTCCTTTTTTTTTCTTTCTTTTTTACTTTTTTTTTTAAGGCCTGCTATAAAAAAAAAAAAAGTACCACCTCCAGGGTATCAGAAATCGATGAAAACTTTTGGCGTCGCGAAAACGCGTAAATTCGATTTACGAGTTCAGTCTATCGCGCGCTTTGTCAGTTTTCCTTCTCCGCTCGCGGAGATTTATGATTATGACGATTACTTTCTCCCGTCCACGTTAACAATGCTCGGTGCACAAAGTATTGCAGGAGATTTCTCTGGTTGGGTGTGTGTGTACGACGTGGTTGACGAGGTAAGAGGAAAAAGGAGCATAATGGCTTCTGGGGGTGAGAAATGGAGGATTTATCATTGCTGAAACGTAAGGCTTTAAGACGAGGATGTAAGGACTTTGTTGGTTTACGTCGAAAAATTTGCAGTTGTGCAATGGACTTTGCTTTTAAGACATGGTACCTTCATCCAGCTTTTCTCGCGAAAAATTGTGATGGTACCTTCTTGTTGTTAAACATCGCCCCTTTCCCCCTAAAACTACGATTAAGACCTTCAACAACAAACGAGCATTGTTAACCGTCCAATACACGGTACACCGCACATTGCACAATATCTGCGGAAAATCAAAAGAGCAAAATCGGAAAAATTTCAGCGCAGCCGCACGTTCGTTCAAGCTCGTCCGTCAAACTCCTCGCAGCCGAGCCAAGTCCGTACCCGAAACTGCAACTCTACCGACTTTTTATCTCCGAAACAGCTACAGCTTCGAACGGATGGATAGCGCCGGTCATGTATACATATACATTGTAGCGCGTGCAGAGAGAGAGAGAGAGACGAACGATCCAGTAGCAGCGCAATCATATTGTCGGGCCGTCAGTATCGGCTGGCGTGGCGCGTTCATCATGTAACAGCTTGCAATGCCAGGGTAGAGAGGCCAACGTGGCGGGAGAAGCCAAACGACCTCCCCAAGCGCTGTTGTACGCAAATCGTTACACCCAATATTCCGTCCCTACCCCCTTCGCTCTTTTCCACCCTTGAAACGACCATCTCGTAATCCAAGGGCTTAAATCATTTTTCAAATGTCCTTTCTGTGGCTATTGGTACACGCCAATTAAGAATCATCCCCCCAAATAATGCGTTTCGCGTGTATTTCGTCGAGGGGGTGTACAGCCCAATTTGAGCTTAGATTACCCCGGAGTGAGTTTGCGTGAGCGGGTCGAGCTGAAATCGCATGGTGTATCTACCGCGTCCTGGTCCTTCTTGAGTTTTTTTTTTTTTTTTTTTTTTTTGTTTTCCACCAATAACCGGCTCATCGCATATTCCAGCGGAATTTTAACAAGCTCCACGGTACAACCACCTGCCGGTCCAGCTTGATATCGCTCGACTGAAAAAAGAAGCCGCATTCCCGAGAATCCGATATCCAATTTTCCGAGTTTTGCTCGGCTTTTTTTTTTCTCATCTCTCGGTCATCTCCTTTTCTTAATTCCGCGGAAACACAGAATGCGGAAGAGAGAAAAGTACCGGTCCCCCCCCCCTTCGATAATATAATCTGAGGGAAAAGGCAATCGGAACCGGGAGGCCTCTCCTTTGCTTTCCTCCTCTGTACGTGCGAATTGCCAGTGTCCGATTGGTACGGGAGTATAAGGCTTCGATTGGTGGGCGGCCGCTTTAACGACTACCTTATTATCGCGCCTGCGAGCCGATCGGTTCGGCTGACTTTTTTTCTTTTTTTTACGCGGCTTGATCGGCCTGAAATAAAACGATGAAGGGCCAGTTTTTCGAAAACGAGTTTTCTTACTTTGCAAAATTTTCCATAACTTGTAACAATCCGTAATATAAAAACAATTAGTTTTCATCGAGGAATAATATCCCCGATGAGACATCGATCGGTGATGCTCGAATCAGTGACACGTCTCGTGCTCCGTTAGAGCGACACTCCATCCTCGAGCCGCGCGATAATAACGCGATTTCAAGCATCAGCACTGGCACTTGAAACATGCGATACCAGCACTGCATGGTGCTGAAAATGCGATTTCAACGTCACGTTAATCGATCGTTTTTTTTTTTTTTTTTGTTTTTTTTACTCGTTCGATAAAAGTGATTACCAAAAACTGCAAGGGGCAGAGCCACACCCACGTTAAACTTTTAACTTGCGTCCACTCGAGCCGGTAGAAATTTATCCCGCCGCAAAGTTATACCCTCCTCCGGCATCTTGACAATGCCTCTCGCGATGATCCTTTATTGGTCCGATAAAAGAGCCCCCCCCCCCCACCCCGCGTCGTTCTAATGCGACTCCCTAACGGTACCTCGATGGAGAACAACATTGGCCACGATAAAAGTTTCACCTCCGAGTCGTCACACCTACAGCCACTTTTTGCAGAACCAATACGGCAAGAAAGTCACGCGACGGCGTTCAAGTTCCAAGCCCCCTTTCCCTCGGTCCCGTGGTATAGGACCGATTACCCGAGTTCGCGCTCTTGCCTGCGGCAATAAAACGAGCATTCCAAAGTACACATTTCCAGCGTGTTATGTTTTCACAAATATCAGTCGAGCTGGGGGGAGGGCAAACAAAGCTCCATCGGTTCGCAAACCCCAGCATGTACGCGTATCACCAACCGACCAACCACAAATACAAGTATCAAACGCGTGTGCACAGTCCGATCGTAAACAATTTCATCGGTGCCCCATACGTACATCGTGTACAGCGAGTCCTCGTGTTATAAATAAGTCAGTGGCTGCACCTCAACGTCTCCCTCCCCCCTCCATTAAACGGCCGACCGCAGCTACAGTGCCTCCACTTTGGTCTCCTAAATTAGTCCCCTCCCTTTGCTCGTTTGCGGTGAAGAGCCGAACCGTGTATAGGTCGAGGCCCCTCCGTTGTATTCCAGCGGATGATTTGTCAGGCCCTATACGGTAGTGCCCTCGATGCTGCCTGATTCCGAAAACGCAAAGGGATACGATCGCATTTTGTTGTTACTGCAAGTAGTACGAGTCAAGGTATGGTCAGACTTGGATGAAAGATTTCCCAGAGTAAACAGTGGCTCTTTTTGTGCACGCACAAGTAAAATTACCGCCGAAAAATGGTCCGAGTATCGAGTTTACACCCCCATTTTCTTAAGAAATAGAGCTACGAAGAGTAAAAAAAAAAAAAAAAGAAAAAAAAGAAAAGGCTAAACTACGGGGGGCAAGTAAATTTTAAATGCGCAATAACGCTCTCGGCACGTGTGTTGTGTGTATTAGTTTAT